TAAAATACAATATCTTAAATTATATTTACTGCAATAAATACTATCAGTCTAAAAATAGTCTTAAAATGAATCATTTCATTTTGGATGATGATACAAATGGTATTTAACCCTTTCACTCCCAGACACAGGCTTTGACTTGATTTTATGTGGTTGTGACTTATTTGGATAAAACTCTTATGTGTGAACTGTCAAGCAGCACTTTCATGTTTTACTCTTTGTTTTTGCTGATTCTGCACATTGAAATTCAAAGATTTCTTCTCAAATTTTGACCTAGCACTCTTGGGAGTGAAGGGGTTAATTACAGCTAAATAGAATTGATTTTTTAATTAAAATCTTGTTGTAACTGTAACAATAAATTAGTATGAAGTAAACTGCAGACTTAGCTGCTGTTTGTCTTTTTCCTGGGCTCACAGCTTTCCCTGTTAGCCTTGAATGAGGTTTTCTACAAGAAGCTTGACCATTTTGTATCTGGATTCCATGACATCTGAATTTGAAAAAATATATATTCATATATATATAAATAAATATATTAAAAGCTCAGACAAGGCCTTAGATAGCTATAAGGAAAAGGGCATTCACTGGAATCTCAATTTAATTTTGAATGTTCCCAAAACGTGACTAAAGTAATCTTGAAACCTTACTGATAGATTTCATTGTAAAGCATAAGCTTAAGAAACTGCGGCATGCAAGTGACCGATTCGATTCTCAGAATTATTCTAGTTTCCGTTGCACCGAGCGTTATGTAAGCTTAATTCAATTCTTTGATAAGATTTTGATCACGTAACGACTATCGCAATTTTTACTCACCACAAACTTTCAAAATCGTAGCTTTATAGATGGCCTATCGACCCTTGTTTATACTAGTCAATATGTCAACTGTTGTCCCTTCTTTTAACTCCACGGCGTCAACGACTTTCTTTTCATTTACAACACTCACGCTGTTCTAGTTTTCCCAATGAACCAAAATAAAACCTTTCTTTAGAAATGTTATATTAGGCAAAACAGTTGAGAAAAGAAATAACTTAACACACGAGCGATCAACCGATAAAAAGTACATTCAAAGATGAGCGCCAAATGGAGTCTTCTTTGTTTCTGATCACGGACATGATCACGTGGATCGTTTAGGACTTGTCATTGGCTGTCGTTTCCTCTGAACTTAAAGCGGTGATGCCACCAGAGAAGAGTGCGTCTCATAAAGGGGAAGCATTTGTTCAAGAGACAGAAGCAACTATATCCGATTACAGAGGTGTGTTAGAACTCTGGTCCACAAATGGTTATGCACTGTCCGAAGTGTAAAACAATTTTATTGATAGCTGACAGACAGAGAAGAACAACAAGTAAACTTTAGAGCTGTTATTATTGAAGTGTGACTTGCACTTTTCATTTGTATATTAAGGCGGACGTGTATTTCGCACCAAAAATAAAAAGAAGTAATATTTTTTGGGAGATTCAGTGATTGGGACATTAAAGAAATAAAATTATGAAAGGAAACTCGGTTTGTACTTTTCACTAATAACAAGTCTTGTTTTAAAAACATTTTCAGATCAGGGTTTTAAATAAAGTAAATTGAAGAAGTAATTTAAAAGGTGTAAAACAGGACCTGAAAAAAAATTTCAGGTCCTATTTTCAACTACTAGTTCAGTAGTGTTCTTAACTGCAAGAACCTCTTAAATTCATTTCTTCACCGCAGTGCAAATATATGAATTTCATATATCTAAAATCATTATTCATCACTTGGATGGTTTGTTTGGACCCAACAAATTGACCAGCTCCCAATTGGCTTGTTAGCTCAGTTGGTAGAGCGCTGCACTGGTATTGCAAAGGTTATAGGTTCAAATCCCATACGGGCCTGAATTTTTTTCAGGTCCTATTTTCAACTACTAGTTCAGTAGTGTTCTTTAAGCTGCGAGGATCTCTTAAATTCACGAGACATTTTGCATCACAGTAAAAACTTTTATGATCATGGAATCCAAGAGTCCTTTGGGGTTAGAAAGCAAATCTATGATATGAGTACATTGGATTAATTGGCAATTTGCATTTAACATAATTGACATCTGCTTTATGAAAAATCCATATTAAAGTAGAGATTTACTAAAACTTAGTTTGAATAATAAATTTAATGATCTTTAAGTTATAAACATATACATGTATGTATATCTCTTGGTAAATTTTGTATAGCATACCTTTTATTGAGCCAAAGTTTTAAGCCTCTAAAATTACCCCTTTTCTTAAATACTTCTTGGAATTGATTTGGACCTCAGGGTATTTAAATTGCCTCAAATTCAATTCTCAGAAATTCCCAAGAATTCCACCCTTCTTAAATTATAGGTAGTTTGCATAGCTGAGAATTCCTAGGAATTCCAAGTCCTCACAGAACTGGAGTCTTCCGTTTCCCAGAAATTCCAAGTAATTCCAAGCTTTTCAAATCAGAGCTGATTTGCACAGTTGGGAATTTTTGAGAATTCCTAGGAATTCCTAGACCTAATTCCAAGCCTAGCCTTTATAAAACAGGACTTAAGTGGTTAGTGTGCCCTACTCTTGATTGTTTGACAATCAAGAGCATTTTTAGTTGGTAATCAGCTCCTTTATAACTGAGGCCCTCGGGCAACTAAGGTAGATAGAGTCGCAGTATGAACCACCTCATGCAAGGCATGCAGCCTTTCTAACTTTGATGTATCCCCCAGCTTCCCCTCCCCTTTCAAAATCCCAGCTACTCCCCTGCAAGGTCGATAATGGAAAGGGCACTCCCTTTATTGGCATGACAGAAACAAGTATGCACATGCGCCAACTGACTTTTTGGTATGAAAACTAGGCGGAAATGCAAGAAACTTTTCCATAGGGATAAGGAAAAATGTGTCGACCTCAACAGGTTCTATGGTGAAATTAGTTAGACCACACTAAAGCTCTCCTCTTTCCATCTCATTTGTATCTCAAAATCTTTGCAAAGATTAAAATCATAAATTTTTTTTCTTGTTCTGAGAAATACTCAGAGAGAGCTAAAGAGAAACCTTAAACAAGTCAACAAGTAAACCCTGGGCAATATTCGGACAGGCACTTCCAACGGAATGATTGACAAGACACTCTACTATCGATTCTAGAGCGTCCTCTAGCTCTTGTTTCTCCATTCTTGCTTCTTCATTCAGATTTCTTCTTTGACGAATTGTTCCTTGATCCTATTGAATTCAATTAATACAACTCAGGTGAGCTATCGATATTATGGCAACAGTGGTCAAATGTGGGCATGCGCGATGGGATGAATTCTGGCCGGCCGCGCGCCAATTTCCCGCGTAACTTTCGATGAAAACGTAAGAAACAACTGCTGTCACAATTAGCTAAGCAGAAGAAAAAATCAAATTGTTTATAGAAATATGTAAACAAAGGTAAGAAAAAAGAAAACTCGAGATTTCTCGAACGCTAAGCTTATTGAATCACGAGTATCCCTTTCATTTACAATTTTGTTTGGAGCTTTAACGAAAAAGTTAGACGCTGTTAAAACACCGTGACTTACAAGATTATTTGGTTCTTTTTAGCTCGTGTAAGACGCTGACGCTCTGACGAGGGGCATTCTCTCTTACGAGGGCCGGGCTAACGCTGAAAACGTCAGCGTCGAAACTCTAAACGCTGGCCGATTTACGTTAATACCGAATTATTTTAATATAACTGATATTTTCCTTTATCCTCAGATCTTGTCTGCCTGAGACTGAATTGATATTTTGAGGAGAAATCATTTCTTGGTCACTCATGGGATTAAACAAACCTCAGCAGGCTCTTCATCCATGAAATAGCTTCTCATATGCGGGTTGAAGTAACTTGCCAGAGCGGCTACACTGGACTCGGCATGTAAGAACACGTCACACCTGGCTAAGAGCAGAATGTCTATCAGCACTTGGGTGCCAATTTCTCGTTCGTACGGGTGAGTTGCGTTGTATTTGAATTTAAATAGATGCGGAGGCGTCTGACTGTGATATTCCTTTGCTCGTAAAGCTTCTGTGAAAACAACCTGCACAGCAGTTAAGCAACAAAAATCACTGGATAAAAATACGACTCCCCCTGGATTAAAATATAATTCCCCCCTCCCTCCACGATTTCACTGCAAGATAGTAAATTTCCACTTGTTACATAAAATCGCCGGGTAAAATTTCCTTACAGCCCCATACTACATTATGTTTTCAGTTCTTGAATGGAGAAAACAATGACAAAAACAATACATTTCCATTGGGAAAACAGATTTATAACGTAGCTAGTTAATTTTTCTTATCAAATTCAGTTGCGCAAGCGTGCTTCATATACCAGTGCATGCTCGTGACGTCAATTTTCCATGGGGTTGAAAATGTTATAAAACAATTGGTTCATACGTCAGCTCAAGAAGCTAGAGTTGCTCTCGGTTACGCCTCGAGCAACTCTTACGCATCTTTCGTGCTCTCCAAACTTCCCAAGTGCTTCGTATCTCGATGAACGCACGCTGACGTGTGAACCAATTGTTAATTGAAGTTTGATCGTTTGTTTTGTTTCAGGGTTGCTTTCTCGTTGTTTGGGATAGAAATGATACTTAAGCAAGAAATGGTGC